AATTGAGTAAATCTAGGTCTCTTATAATCATGAGCCACAATCCTAGCCCTTGATAACTTGTTTCCATATTGTATTTATAGGAGAGCATAGCAAATTTTTACATAAGACATTGTTACTTTTGATTTTCTGTCACAGTTAAACCGGTCTGATACAAAAAGCTAAACCGATGTTGGCCTAGAATGTGTTAAAACTTTGTTATGGGATGCCTGGGTGGCTCAGCGGTTGAGAGTCTGCCTTCGGCCCAGGCCGTGATCCTGAAGACCTGGGACTGAGTCCCACGTAGGGCTCCCTGCATGGAGCCTGCTTCTCCCTCTGCCTGTGTCTCTGCCTCTGTCTTTCTGTGTTTCTAATGAATAAATAAAATCTTAAAAAAAAAAAAAAAACCAACTTTGTTCTGTGACATTACATGAGATTTAAGAGTGTCTTATTTAAGATTTTCAAGTAAATTTAATATCTAAAACAGCTAAAGAGTAGCAGAAATATACCACTTTGAAATATGCCAAAGTGACATGGGGTGGTGTGTTCTGCTACCCTTCACAATGGTTCTCAAACCTTTGGTCTCAGGACCCCTTTAGTTTCTTAAAAATTACTGTGGCCCTTAAAGCACTTTTATTTAGTGGGCTATAAACACCAGTATTTACTGTATTAGAAATTAAAATAAGACCTTTTTAAAACATAAGAATATATAAACACATCTCATCAGGTGTCAGAGCCACGTATTATGTAACTTCTGGAAAACTCCACCAGACACTTGTGAGAGAAAGAAAATAAAAAAGGTAAACGAGGGGATCCCTGGATGGCTCAGCTGTTTAGCGCCTGCCTTCAGCCCAGGGCATGGTCCTGGAGTCCTGGGATGGAGTCCCACTTTGGGGTCCCTGCATGGAGCCTGCTTCTCTGCCTCTGTCTCTGCCTCTCTCTCTGTGTGTATGTGTTTCTCATGAATAAATAAATAAAATCTGAAAGAAAAGAAAGAAAGAAAGAAAGAAAGAAGAAAGAAAGAAAGAAAGAAAGAGAAAGAAAGAAAGAAAGAAAAAGAAGAAAGAAAGAAAGAGACAAACAACATCTTAGTAGTATCATGAAAATAGTTTGGACCCTTAAGGGGACCTCCAGGTACCCCAGATCCCATTTTGAGAACCACTGATCTAAACCATTGAAATTTTAATCAAATACTTAGGAAGTTCTCCCACACCTTTGTGGCTTAAGAATCTCTGAACGTAAGGATGCCTGAGGTTCAGCAGTAGAATATTTGTTTATGATTTGTTGGGTTTGATTTGGGGCCACCAACACCCATTTCCCCTTCTTGGGGAACTATGCCTTGATTTCCTTCTCAACAATACCTTCTCCTGCACTCTTAAATCCAGCTTAGAAAAAGAGCATGAGACTAGGCTAAGCCATCCCATTCTCCACAGCCACAGGAACCAGGAACCGTTTCAGGGAGGAATTCGAGGTGGAATTCAACACAGAATCTGGCCTTTTCCTTCCAGGCTGGACTAGGAGTGGCTCTTACATCCGTAAGAGCCAAAATAGCAGCATCCTTCCTGACATCTCACGGAGGCCTGCGTGAGCCAGACACCAACATGAAGGAGAACAAAGTGGAGAAAGACAGAGACTGGCCCTGGGACATTGGCCTGGGAACCAGCCTGGGGCAGACACTGCTATTTGTCTGCTCTTTGGACTCATCAACAGACCCTCAGTTTTTCTCAGGGAGCTCTATGTCCAATCCCAAATGTTCAGCCTCCTAGGCTCCTTGGCAGTGCAGGGAGGCCGTGTGACCTGGTTCTGGCCAATGACTTGCAGCAGAGGTCAGTGGCTGGGGCTGCTGGGGGAGCTTGTGGAGGGAGAGAGGCTTTGCCCTTCCTTCTCAGATTGCAGACCTGAGACTAGAAGTGGAGCAGCAGGAGCAGGAAGCTGAGCTGGGGAGGCTGACAGAGATGCAGCCACACCATTGATGGCTTCTGCTCTACATCATCCCAAGGTGGCCAGTCTGCTTTGCAATGTGAGATAAAAGCTTTTGGAGTCAAGTTTCTGCTGATTGCAATCCTTTTGTGGGATACAGTCCTGCTTCTGGACTTCTTGTTAACTGGAGCCAATTAATCCCTTTTTGCTTACGTTCTTCTGGGTTGGGTTTTCTGTTGCTTTCAGGAGAAGAAACCAGATTTCTGGCTCTGAGGAGAGCTCATGGTTATTCAGCAGACAGATAGCCATTTCTTGTGTCTGTGAGATAAGGTGAGCCACAGTCATACCCTTAAGAGAAAGGACATGGGCAGCTCCCGTGGCTCAGCGGTTTAGCGCCGCCTTCAGGCCAGGGCCTGATCCTGGAGACCTGGGATCCAGTCCCACATCGGGCTCCCTGCATGGAGCCTGTTTCTCCCTCTGCCTGTGTCTTTGCCGCCCCTGCCTCTCTCTGTCTCTCTCATTAATAAATAAATTTAAAAAAAAATAAATAAGAGAAAGGACATGACATTTACGGCAAAGGAGACTCAACCCTCTGGCTCCAGAGACACATCAAAGCAGGCAGAGGAGAGAGGAAGAAAGACACCAGGCACGGAGCAGCCTTAAGGGGAGGAGAAAATTTGTTCCAGCTTTGGAAAAGGGCTGAAACAGTGTCTGGAGCTGCTGTCTGGGTCACAAGCATCATTTTAATGACTCTTCAGCCAAGCTATGTAGGGGAGGCTCCTCCAACTTTCAGCAAACTCTGGCTCTTACTCCTCTGAGGCATGTGAAGAGCTACATTCCTCCAGGGGCTGGGCCTCCTTAGAACTTTTCCTCTTTTCTAGAGAGGGTCAGGGAGGGGATGGGGGAAGAATATGAATTAATATAGAGGTGCCTGGGTGGCTCAGCCTGTTAAGCATCTGACTCTTGGTTTTTGGCTCAGATCATGATTTCAGGGTGGTTGAGATTGGGCCCCCATGTCAATTGAGCTCAGCGTTGAGCATGGAGCCTGTTTAAGATTCTCTCTCTCCCTCCCTCTCCCCTCTGCCCCTCTCTGCTCCACTCATGTGCACGCTTGCTCTTCCTCTAAAAAAAGAAAAAAGAAAAATTCATGTAAGCATCGACAAACTTTGGAATTAAGAAATCTGACTTTAAGTCCTATTTCTGCACCAAATTGCTAGAGATATTGAACAATGTATTTAATTTTTCTGGGACCCAGTTTCTTCTTATGAAAAATGATCATGAGAATAGTGATCTCATGGAGTTGTTGCAAGGATCAGATGAGCTATTAAAATGTAATAGGAAAGAATTATGTAAGATGTAACCATTGTGCGAGACTGGGTAAAGGGTACATGGGACCTCTGGGTCCTGCTGTCTTTTCAACTTCTTGTGAATCCATGGCTAGTTCAAAATAAGAAGTTCTAAAGAGATGTTTTTTGAATTAATAGGAAGAAAAGAAGGAAGAAAGGAAGAGACAAAAATCCACAGGTCCTAGCTGTGTGGTTTTGCATTTTCCTGGCAGTTAGGCACTAGGAGTGAGGGAATGAGGGAGTTTGATGGGACAGAAATAGAGTTTTGTATTGATTATTAATCAGGTCCCTTTTAATGCTCCTAGATATATGAAGTAAAGATCATAGAGCTTCAAAGTGACTTGTGATGGTGGGACGTCGTTTTCTTCCATTGGGACGCTGCACAGATTGTGCCATGTGAAGCTCTGGCATTTTCCAGGGTTATGCTCATGACAGAGGCAGGTCAGCGATGCTGTTGGCCTTTCACTGTCCCAACCCCGCTGTCTGAATGGGCAACCCAGCATGCCCAACCCCCACCAACATTCCTCTCAGAAAGGTGGTCAGAATAGAGACCAAAACAATACCTTCGGCCCCTGGGCCTTTCTAGAACCTTCTCTGAGATAAAGTCTCTCAGGCCCATTAACTCATCCCATCCTTCCTTGGCCTCTGGAACAGATTAGAAGCTTCCTGTGCTGGAGGACAAGGAGAAACCCAAAGAGCTGGGGGTGAGCTAAATAGCTCAGGTCTCCCCAGCAACTTCATGATGCTCCTGTCTTGAAAGTTTCCTGTTGTCCATTAGGCCAGACAATTCCTCAGCTCCTTTGCCCAGGGGAAAGGTGAGTGACAGCAGGCGGAAAGGCCTTGTGGCTATAGTGCCACTGTATTCAACACAGCAAGCTGTCACAAAGGAGGACCGGCTGCAGACTGCTTGGGCAAGGTCCAGAGACAGTCCAGAGATGCGGGAGGTTGTGAGATGTGCCCCCACAGCTAGGGACAGTACATTTGCAGGTTTTGATGCTCCATTTGGTCATCTTTGCATTGTTGGAGGATGGCCTCGCATAGGACAGATAGGACAGGTGCTCATGGTAAATCTGAGAGATGCGCTAGTGGAAAGTTTGGTATGCACACCTCAGGGCACATTATTCCCTGTGCTAAAACATCTTGGATTAGGGGAGCCTGGGTGGCTCAGTGGGTTAAGCGTCTGCCTTCAGGTCAGGTCATGATGCCAGGGTCCTGGGATAGAGCCCTGCATCAGGACTCCTGCTCAGGGGGGAACCTGCTCCTCCTCCCTCTGCTGCTTCCCTTGTTTGTGCGCTCTCTCTCTCTCTCTCTCTCAGATAAATAAATAAAAATCTTATTTTTTAAAAAAAGACATCTTGAACTAGACATCAAGCAGCTGATGATGGAGCACAAATTTGGGGCAAAGGGTGGTCTGAACGGATGTGATACCTGATAGGCTTCATCCAGGTGTTGAAGTGCTCCTGCTCCGTAGTGGTCTGTCCTCTTCACTCCAAGAGCATTAGTGGAAGGCAGTCCTTCTTAGCCTAGAGGTCAAAGTGCAGTCTCCACTGATGCACTGTCTAGGTTCATGTTCTGGTCCACACCAAGTAACAGTGAGGTCTTGGGTAAATCGAAATTGCAGCTTCCTGGTCCATAAAATGACTTAAAAAAAAGAAGAAAGGGGATGCCTGGGTGGCTCAGCAGTTGAGCATCTGCCTTTGGCTCAGGGCGTTGTTGTGCCCAAGATTGCGAGTCAGAGAAACCACCAAGGAGCCGACACACATGCAAACACACGAGGGTTTATTTACAAGCTTGAGCTTGGGTCCAAGTATACCCAACACAGCGGAGCAGGGACTTGGATCCCGAGGTGGGTTTCAGCTTAGTTTTAAGGATCGATCTAGGGGACCTCCAGAAGGGGTGGAGGAATTTCTCAAGTTCTGTCTACATTTGGCTTTCAAGGGCATTGAACTCTATTCTTATTGTAATAGGGGCTTCCTGCCCTTGGCTTGGGCTCTGTTCTCATTCTAATATGGGGCTTTCTAGGACTTTAAACTGTAAGCTGTTTTCTTCCTGTAACTGAAGTAAGGTAAATTTCAGCTCTTATTCACAGGGGCGTGGGATGGCTGTACTTGTGCTAACGCTGAACTTAAAATGGAATGGCCTTAATTTTCTTGGCCTCCACAGCCTGATCCTGGGGTCCTGGAATTCAGTCCCACATCAGGCTCCCTGTGAGGAGTAGGTTTCTTCCTCTGCCTATGTCTCTGTCTCTCTTTCTGTGTCTCTCATGAATGAATGAATAAATAAATAGATAGATAAATAAATCTTAAAAAAAAAAAAGAAGAAAGTATGCCTATCTCTCAGGGTATTCATGAAGTGTAAATGAGATCTTGCATGTCAGGTGCTTAACCCACCGCATGGCACATAGGACACATACATTAAATTAAACTATTGCAACTAGTGTGGATGAAAAGCATCAGGACAAGTCAGCACATGGCCCTGCCCTGCTGTAAGTTGCTAGTGACTTCAGATAATCTTCTCAACCTCTCTGGATCCACGCTTCTTCCTCTGAAAAATATAAGAATTGAACCAAAGGTAGGCCCTTCTACTGGAAAGAGCTTGAAAATCTTGTGGAAAGTCTGAGTTCCTCCCAGCTAAGACAGCCCCTGCTTTGAAATGCTGAGTCTTTTTCACTGCCTCAGTAAACTACACTTCCTCTGGGGAACTCCCAGCCCAAGAGGGAAGGCTGCTGAATGACAGCTTTTCAAGATATTTGGCAAGGGTGTTGCCAGCTCAGAAGAAACAATGAGCACAATTCTCGGTTCTGAAGGTAACAAGAAGTCCCCTGCCAGTCCCCAGAGAGAAAGCCCTCTGCAAACTCATGGCAAGGGTCAGGGCTTTCATAGAATTTTAGAAGGTCAAAGCTGGAAACGCTCTTTGGGAGTTTCTAGTTCAGGGGATTTAAGCTGTGTTTTGTGAGTGCATCTGCAGTGCCACAGACTATTACTATTCATCTCATTTTGTATACCTCAAGCTGTATTTACAACTGTGACAGAAAGACAGCAAAGACACCCGCATTAGTCACCCATTAATTTTGACACATCAGAAACCATAATCCATTAATATATTGTGGCAGATTCTGCTGGTTGTCCCCTAAATCTACTCTTCCTTTTTTACCTTTGTTGTGGACTACAGTTGGGTAGGGCCATGGCTACCCAGATTAAAGGCTACACACTCCAGCCTCCCTTGCAGCTAGGTAAGGCTTTGTCGTTAAGTTTTGTCAATGGGATGTGAACTGAGGATGTGAGCACTACTTCTAGGGGGTAAAGTGAGAGAGTGTACGCTTCTCATTCCTCTTCTTGTTGGATCTAATGTGGATGTGATGGTGGAGGTCAGTCAGCCATCTTGGGCTCTGGATTAGAAGTTTGTGTTGAGGTTGATGGACAAGAGAGAAGGAGCCTTGGGTCCTCGACGATCATTGAGCTCTAACCTGTTCACATTGAGCGCCTTACATGGCTCACCTCAGACTTCATTAACGTGAAGGAAACATAAACCTCTATCTTGTTAAACCACTTTTATTTTGAAGTTTTTGTCTTTTGCAACTAAACCTAATTGAACACAGTTGTGTTCTCAGTGACTGACTTTATAACATATTAGTAATATTTTGAGTGTTTACTGAAAGATTCTAGGAAAATATTTTCCACTTGTAACTCCCACTCAGGTCAAGAAGTTTGTAGCCACCCAAATGCCCTTTGTGTGCTTTGACCTAATCCCAACTACCTACTTGCTCCTAAAAGCACCTCTATCCTGACCTTTATAGTAAACACTTCCATAATTTAATGATGTAATATTACCTTAAAAACACTTTGGTTAAAGACTGCTTTTATCTGTTTTACATGGGATGACTCTTAAGACTGTTTGACAGAAGTCTTCCTCTGATCAGAAAGTTAGAAAATGATAGAGAAAGGGATCCCTGGGTGGCGCAGCGGTTTAGCACCTGCCTTTGGCCCAGGGCGTGATCCTGGAGACCCGGGATCGAATCCCACATCGGGCTCCCGGTGCATGGAGCCTGCTTCTCCCTCTGCCTGTGTCTCTGCCTCTCTCTCTCTATCTGTGTGACTGTCATAAATAAATAAAAATTTAAAAAAAAAAAGAAAATGATAGAGAAAGTCTGACCATCTCATTTTACAGGGGAAGAATGTAAGGCTCAGGGAGAGGAAAGACCTTTCTAGTATCAATCAGCAAATTAGCGGCAGAGTGAACTAAGACTCAAGTTCTCTCTAACTCTTTAGCATTTCATTTCTAGTTCTTTCCAGGAGAAAACGACCCTTGATATAAGATACCAGCCTTATCCAGTGACCGAAAGATGGGAAAGAATGCCAACACAGCCTCTTCTACAGGACGTTCCATCCTCCCACACTGAATCTGGCTCTTTCTGCATAGATCTCAGGGCAGAGAAGCTGTTAAGGAACTTGGCAGTGATTTTTCCTGGATGACTTTGCCTTTTACCTAAAAAACAAATGTAAAAAAAAATAAAAAATAATAAAATAATAAAATAAAAAACAAATGTACCAGCAAAGGTGGGAGTCACAGACAGAGGACATGCAACGGAGATGATAATAGTGTGAAGTGGGCATCTCTCCCATGGTGGTGTGTGCACTAAGCCTGACACACAAGAGCCCTAGAGATCACTGTGGTGAAGTATGATGCTGAATCTCTGGGACCAGCAGTGAGAAGCAGAGATACAGTCTGGAGTAAGCCCGAGCTCTTCTCCCACATTCACTCAGCTGTTCTCACTAGCATGGCGATGCTCCTAACTTAATTCCAGGGGAATCCCTTACGTTCATGAAAGTCAGTTATTTTATCTTGTGAAAGATGCCCATCGCACGTTTGCGTAGGACACAGCAGAACCCAATAGCGCCTCATTAGCCAGATTCCACAGCCTTCTCTGTCCTAGATTCTTGGATGGTTTACAGATAGGCCTGTTGGCTTTCCCGTGGACTAGAATTAGCAAGTACCATTTAGTAAAGATGTTGTTACATGTTCCCTGAAGGGGCAGGGGAGGTTCCAAGGACTCAATGTTTAGGAAGCCATGTATACTTTATCTCCTTTTTGAAGAGTCAGGAAGTGCAGTGTTAACATATTGAAGGCTCTGAGAATTCCCACAGTAAAGCATTTTACTTGATTTTGACTGACTTGCCATTTCCAGGGCTTTTTTTTTGACTTTTGGATCTGGTGTTTCACTAGTAGCATCCTGCATAGAACACGTTGGCCAGTGATGCTGCAGCCCCTCTGAAGGATAAAGGATGCATTAATACACATGTATCACACATACCACGTAACTAGAAAATCACCTTTCTGGCCCAGGTAGCCGATCCCTCTGGAAAAGTACTGAATTTTCCCATCCTCCTTATAGCCCCAAGAAGCAATTGTGGAACTGACCAAACCCTGCCCAGTCTGGGGTGGGTTCCCGGGGACAGCTGGTGGGGCTTCACCGCCTGGCACCAGGCTTGTTGTACCAAGAGCCCTGGCCAGCCGGCAGCCACCCAGTGTGTGTCTGGGCTTGTTTTTCCTTCCTTTCCCTGCTCATTTTGGAACACAGCTGAATGGCCTCAGTCTCTCAGGCCTACTCCTGGCCAACACTGGACCCCTCGAAGTCTGGCCAACTCCTCTCCCACTGGCCTTGATAAACACCCCCTCCGAGCTGGGAAGCACAGCACTGGCTGTTTTTCTCCCTCATGCACCCCAGGAAGCCTCTCCTGTGCCTGGGCTTTTTTCCCAGACCTTGGCTGCCAACCCATTTTAAACTCATCCTTAGCCCAGTCAGTCACCTGAAGAAAAAGAGACTCACAGAAGGCTCAAGATGAAAGAGTCTTTAATCTTGTGGCTTTCTGAGTTTTGTTTTAAGCAGGAAAGCCTTATTTTCCAAGCAAATTATTATGCAGAATTTACCAGTTTACAGAACAAATAAGCGAGGACATTTATGGAAGACTTGTTTGTTCCCACAAAACTCTAGAAAGAGACAAAATGTCCACTAGTAGGAAGCAGGCTTAATACAATTATATAGAGTCAAACACTAGAATAGACACAGCCACCTAAAAGTGTGAGGCAACCCTCAACACTAGCAAAAGCCCTAGGAAAAATTCTTATTCCAAATCAACAATATGTGGTTAATAATTTCATTTTAGGACAAACGCGAAGAGAAATTTTCCAGGACATAGGATTTTAAATGATAAAATCCCAGGCAAAGCCCAAGCCAAAAGATGACTTGGTCACCCTACACTGAAGAGAAATTAAGACATTATTTTAGAAAGAAAAGCTTATTATGAATTTTAATCCCAGTTTGTTCACAAATGAAATTGAACTAGTATTTATACTATAAATACAAAAGTAAAACTGTGTGGACTGATAAGAAACATAAAACCACCTCGAGATATAATAAGGAAAAAAAGGCAAGGTACAGAACAAGTGTGCCAAGTGTGCTCTCATTTTGTAAGTTTTCTCTTTTTCTCTCTCTTTTCCCCTAAAGGTCAGAGCAGGGGAGCAGTGGAAGATTTATTCATGTAATGAAGTGAAGTTTGTGACTTCTTGTCTACTTCTGTACCATATCATAAGAAAATTGCTGGACTGATTTTCACTAAATTCTAACATGCTTGTGATGGTCTGACTTAAAATATGAGTTGTTCGGCATACGAAATTTTCATGCTAAGGAGCCTGAGGAGGATACTTCAAAGAGATAATCAGTCATTCTCCAGAGAAGTTGACCCTAGTTAATAAGAGAGGCCCATGTATTCACCAATTGGGAAAGATACACAGATGGGTTCAGGTCCACTAAAAGAGAAAACAAAGAGTGGTTTCTAGTGAGTGTCCAAAATAAAGGGTCATAAGGTAGACTTTCCAAATGGAAGGCTTCAGTGTGTTGGCCTGCTTCCCACATGGGTGAATAGAATTAGACATCCAGGTGTGTAAGTACATGGGTATGTGTGTATATATGCTTCCGAGTGGAGCAGCAATTCCAGATATTAAAGCTTGCATTTGCATACCCCTGAAACTAATAATACACTATATGTTAACTAACTTGAATTTAAATCAAAAAAAAGAAAGAAAGAAAAGAAAAGAAAGAAAAAGCTTGCTTTTGCAGACTACTCCTGTAGGATGCATATGAAATGGATAATAATCAGAGTCTCCAAGGAGGATCATAGATCTGAAATGAACGGGTATTTATTTTTCATTATATAGCCTTTTGAACTGTTGGCAATATTTTCTATTTTTATATATAAGCTTTTTCTTTTAACTTATGAAATATTTCAAGCATACAAGGAAGGTATAGAGAATAATAAAGTTAATGTCTTTGTTTCTTTCTTTTCACTTGTTTGTTATTAAATTGCATGTAACATCTTCATCATGGATTTTCAGAGGAGTTTATTTTATTTTATTTTTATTTTTAAGGATTTTATTTATTCATTTGAGAGGAGAGAAAGAGTGTGTGCACGCACAAGTTGTTGGGGAGGAGCAAAGGGAGAGGCAGAGTCCCTGCTAAGCAGGGAGCCTCATTCAGGATTTGATCCCAGGACTCTGAGATTATGACCCCAATCAAAGGCAGATGCCTAACCAACTGAGCCACCCAGGCACCTCAAGTTAATATCTTTGTATTGGGGCACCTGGGTCACTCAGGTGGTTAAGCGTCTGACTTTCGATCTCAGCTCAGGTCTTGATCTCAGGGTTGTGAGTTCAAGCCCCGCATTGGGTTCTATGCTGGGCACAGAGCCTACTTAAAAACAAAACAAAACGAAACAAAAAAACTTTGTGTCTACCTGCTAATTTTTACGAATCTTAACATTGTACCATATATGGTGGTACTTGGAAAATCCTAGTTCCCTTCTTGTGTCTTTCTTCTCTACTTTCACACAGAACACTTTGGACACATCCGGTCATCAAGGGAGTGGGGTATTGTGTTTTTTGTTTTTTTCCCCCACAGCAAGCAATTCTGTGACACCAGCTGAGTGTCTTACAGTATAACTCAATTCTGACACCATCCTTCTGGAGATAGTGTCAGATCCTACAGGTGAAAGCCTCAGTCCCACAAGACATCCACCCTCCCCACCCCACCCCCGCCTCAGATGCCAGGCCCAAGTAGTACATCTGTTGTAGACCCTCAGCTACCCACAACTTCTGACTTGGCTACAAATTGGAGGTTCTCATTACTCCCTCCCCTTTGGATCTGATCGTTTCCCACAAAAGGGAACTCAGGGAAAAACTTATATTTATCAATTGCAGGAAATGATAAAGGATGGATTTGAATAGCCAGATGAAGGGATACATAGGGTGAGGGCCAGGAGACTCCTAAGCATAGGCGATTTGGGAGCAGGAGAGTGAGGTTCTTTTCTCATGGAGTTAAGCAAAGTTACAGAAGAAGCTCTCAGGAGTGAAGGGTCCTAACAGGGTTGCCACTGGGGGTTTTTAGGGTTGGTCTTTTATTGAAAGCTAACCGGGGAACTTAAATCCTTTTAACATCTCTATTGATATCACCATGGAACAAGAATTAGCGTTATCACCATTAATGGCTTACTTCCTTTTTTAGAGCCTGGTCATTTTTCTTTGTCACAAGTCAATGTTATAATGAGACCTCATCTCTGACACCTAGGACAGGATGGTCTGATTTGTTTCCTTTTTGTTTGTTTGTTTGTTTTTTTAACATTTTACTTATTTATTCATGGAGAGATGCACAGAGAGAGGCAGAGACATAGGCAGAGGGAGAAGCAGGCCCTCAGAGGGAGCCTGATGAGGGACTCAATCCAGGACCCTGGGATCAGGCCCTGAGCCAATGGCAGACACTCAACCACTGAGCCACCCAGGCATCCCTGATTTGTTTGCTTATTTCTGGTTTCCTCTCACCTCCACATTTTTGGGATTTTTGTGAACCTGATCCCATAGCCCCCTACCTATCTCTCCCTACCTAGCCCTATCTGTCTGTCCCTTACTCACTCCTGTCCCTGTGGAGTTGGGGTGCATCAACTTCCAATACATGGATGTGTATTGAGATACCTGGAACTCACCAACCTGGAAGCTTTCTGAACCCCAACTCTTTGGATTTTCTACATGGATGATCATTCATCTGCAAATAAAGACAATCATATTTCTTCCTTCCCAATCTGTGTACCTTTTATTTCCTTTTCTTGCCTTATAGCCCTGCCATCTTTTTTCTGAGGTACTTGCATGGAACCTTAGATGTCCATAGAACATAGCTTAAATCACTGATCTAGATCATGAATTAACACATTTTTCTATGCGGGTCATATGGTCTCTGTTGCAACTCTTCAACTCGGCATGTGCAGTGCAGAAGCAGCTCAGATAACAGACATCTGAGATGAAGGTGTGTCCATACACAATTTAGTGAAAGAAGTCGGTTTATAAAACATCCCTACTAATAAAATGGTTAATGCTTGTCAAATGCCTACTACATGCCAGCTGCTGTAGTAAATGATTTACATGGCTTATCTTGTTTAATTCTCAGAACTGCCCTGTGATATAAATGCAATGATCTCCAATTAACTGATGGAGAAACCATTTATGTCTCCTTATATATACAGTTGACCATGAACAGCATAGGGGTTGGGGCACTGACCCCCTGCGTGCCCCAACCCCTTGTGCGGTTGAGAAAATCTTCGTATAACTCGAAGACTGATTTACTTATTTTAGAGAGAGAGAGCGCAGCAGGGATGGGCAGAGGGAGAGAAATTCAAGCCGACTCCATGATAAGCACAAAGACTGTTGCAGGGCTTGATTCCACCACCCTGAGATCAGACCCAAGCTGAAATCAAGTGTCTGATGCTCAACCAACTGTGCCACCCAGGCATCCCAAAAATCTTCATATAACTTTTGATTCTCCACAAACTTAACTACTAATAGTTGACTGTTGACCGGAAGGTTTCACCTCTCCCTCTCCCTCCAGCCCTTCCTACCATCTCAATGGCTTTTCTGGCCTCTCTAATTACCAGGAACATAGAGGGAACCACAGCTTCTGTTTAGAGCAAAGGAGGAGTTAGATACCCACAAACGACTGCCTGGGTGAGGGCTATTTCCAAATTGGACCCTGGGAGGGGCAGTGACTGAGCACAGTCAGGGCCAGGTCTGTTGGTGGGTGTGGCCTGACTGGGCAGGCCCAGTCCTTTTACTGAGTGGTAGGATTCAGGGACACGTCCTCAAAAATGTAAATTTTGAGATGCATTGACTGACCGTCTATCACATGCTGGGCACTCTGTGAACATTACCTGTGAATTAGGTGCCACCTAGAGCCACGTTTTCCAGATGAAGAGGGATTGAGTAACTTGCCCAGAATCCCTCTGTTTGAGGTACTTGTGCTTTCTCAATTCAGTCCAGCTTTTTCCATGCTGAGCCAGGAACCGTGTGGGCTGACGTAGAATCGGTGGGGTTCCAGAACTGCTTGGACTTTTCCATGGTTTCTTAGCTCCCACTATTAAGAAGGCATCAACAAAGAGGCTAGTGACCAGGTGGTCAGATAAGTCCAGCTCTGTCCCTGAGGAAACAGCATAGGGGAGGAGAGAATTTGTCCCTGAGGAGAGAATTTGGGTTACTCCTCATGAGGTAAGCCAGGGAGGGGCCATAGGGATTAGAAAGGGAAAGCATGTCTCTGAGGAGCCACCACAGGGAACTGTTAGACTGATGGCCTGCATGGCAGGACCAACATGGCCCCAGTCATGAGATGTGCCAGGGATATAAGGATGGGTTCAACACCAGAACCTTCCCTCATAGAGCTGTCCAGGGCGGAGTAAGCTGCTAGTGATGCTCCCTCCTCTGGGTGGTGGGCAGGCCAAGGCTTGGGGCCACCCATCAGAGGGAGTGGACATGGACGTTGGGTTGGATGACCACCTAGTTCTTCTCCTTCCCTAGGATCCTGCAATGATGATGATAGCCAAGCTGAGCACCCTTTGTGTGTGTGCATTATTCACGTCATTCTAAAAAAAAAAGATATCGTTATTATTGTTCCTATTTTACACATAGGAAAACTGAGATCCTGGGCAGTTAAGCAGCTTGCCCAAGTTCACATAGCTGATGAACAGCCAGGCTGGGACTGAACCCGTTTGTCTGCAGAACATGTGTTCTTATCCAAGATATGAGATAGAGACTGCTTCTAGCTGTCTGAGGATCTACCTTAGAATAGTATTAGGATTAGAATGCTAGGAACCCAGGTTAAGCAGACCAATGGGAGATAGATCTTATTTCCAGAGACTCTGACATTTTATTTCAAGGCAGTCAGGAGATTTGCAGACCTCCCCCATTTTAGGTAGCAGATTAGGAAACTCATCTTGTCCACTTAAACTAAGTAGCCATAGCCCCTAAGGACATGGAAATCTAAAATCAGCTCCGACAGACACTCCCTAGAAATTACAGACTTGAGGTTTTTAAGAGACTGGCACTAATTAGAGGAGAACACAAGAGAGGACCGTGACTCTAACCAACTGCTCACACCCACATGGAGCAATGCTGAGATTTCATTTTTACTTTTTTGTAGTCTGCCATGGTCAAAAGGACGTAGATCAGATGTTTTTCTTTTTCTTTCTTTCTTTTTTTTAAGATTTTATTTGAGAGAAAGAGAGCACTAGAGAGGGAGAAAGAACAAGTGGGGGTCAGAGGGAGAGAGAGAAGCAGACTCACCGCTGAGCAGGGAGCCCAAGGTGGGGCTTGATCCCAGGACCTGGGATTCATGACCTGAGCCAAAGGCAGACAGACACCCAACCAACTGAGCCACCCAGGCGTCCCATAGATTGGATGTTTATCAAATTTCAGTTTCAAGCTTTAATTGTATAATGGTGAAAATTTTTGTTCAAACAAAAAGCTTCATTTGTGAAATGCTGTCACCAGGCATTTGGCATGTAATGTTCTTCCTTAAGGCTCAGAATAGCCACATGGGGTAGATACTACCATGATCCCCATTTTATAGATGAGGAAACTGAGTTGCACCAAAGAATCAGTATCTTTCCCAAGGCTCCACAGTTACTAGGTGGTGAAGGAAGAATTTGAATCAAGAGCTGCCAAGTCCAGAGGATGTGGGCCTGGGCTGTAGAAGGAAGCCAAGCTGATAAAACTATCAGTTGAGCTGCCTTAGTTCGGGTCTGGGTATGCTGGGTTGGAAGAGTCCAGCCCACTGAGATTCTCTCTTACGCACTGCAGGGCCCTCGGGAAACCATGCCAGCACCAGAGAGCAGTTTCAAAAACTGGAAACAACTCAAATGTCCATCAACAGGTGAATGAATAACCATTCAGGGCTTGTGGTAGAGCCATGCAATAGAATACTTACTACTCGGTGTTAAAGAGAAAGGAACTATTGATACCCATATTAACAGATGAATTTCAAACTAATCATGGTGAGTAGGGAAAAAAACAGACAAAAATGAGTATATACTGTATGATTGGATTTATGTAAAAGTCTAGAGCATTGAAACTGATTCTGGCAGAAAGCAGAATGGTAGTTGCTTGGGGGGGGGGGAGGGATTGCCAAGAGACCTGACGAAACTTTCTGAGGTGATCTAATCACTATCTTGATTGCGTATCAGTTCATGAGTGTGTGTTTGTGTCTTTAAAAATCACATATGTAGGGATCCCTGGGTGGCGCAGCGGTTTGGCGCCTGCCTTTGGCCCAGGGCGTGATCCTGGAGACCCGGGATCGAATCCCACCTCGGGCTCCCGGTGCATGGAGCCTGCTTCTCCCTCTGCCTATGTCTCTGCCTCTCTCTCTCTCTCTCTGTGACTATCATAAATAAATAAAAAAAATTAAAAAATGAATAAATGAAAAATCACATATGTGGGACTCCTGGGTGGCTCAGTGGTTGGGCTTCTGTCTTTGGCCCAGGGCGTGATCCTGGAGTCCTGGGATCGAGTCCCGCGTCGGGCTCCCTGCATGGAGCCTGCTTCTCCCTCTGCCTGTGTCTCTGCCTCTCTCTCTCTCTCTGTGTCTCTTATATAAATAAATAAAATCTTAAAAAAAAATCACACATTTAAAATGTGTGAAATTAATTGAATGGAATTATACCTCAGTAAATCTGTTTTTTAAAAAACAGTAAAAAAAAATTAAAAAAGTCAAAAATAAAAATCTTGTATTTAACAGGAGGCTGAGCCAGGAGGTGATTGGCTTAAGCTCACTCAGCTTGTGGAGGGGCTCACTCTGGGGCCCACACCACCGTGGGGGGGACACAGTCTCACTCAAGTCCAGCCCCCAGGCTCTACCTCCAGCATCTTGAGGGGCAGAGGGCTTCTCTGTAGCTGTGGGCTCTGTCAGCACTGGACAAACCAAGGCTCTGGCCACAGATGGGTTGTTTGACAGAGGCAAAGCTGCTAGGAGCTTTACCCCATTAGTCCCAGAAATAATGACAATGACAATTATTGGGAACACCCCAGAGGTCACTCTAGGTTGCTGTACTCACAACCAAGGACCTATGACAAAAATATAAGCCTGCTGAAAGGATTAGACCAGGCAATCTCCTCTTCTGAAAGATTAACCCAACAAACATCTACTGTGCACCCAACACACACCAGGGCCTGTCCTCATCCACTGTCTTGTGAGGACCAGATAGGATGGAATGACATTAATGTAAGAGCATGACACCCAGTAAACACCCCCCAAATGGTGCCTATTACACAGCCATCAAATATTCCCTCAGTGCCTGTTCTCTGCTTGGCCTGGTCTGTGAGGATAGGGAAGACACGTGGACCAAAAGCTTTGTCTTAACACTGAAGCTGGTGGGACAGATGCTGTGAGGGCCAGGAGAAGAAATAAATTACTTCCAGTTGTGAGAGGATTCATGGAAGCTGTGGTATGTAAGACAGGGAAAGAAATTTGTACACGGAGACAGGGTGATGGTGGACAGGCAGGCAGAGAAGAACATTTCATTTACCGGGAGCAGCATGGACTGATCTGGCTGCATGAGGGCTGGGTCAGGCTGGGTCAGGCTGGGTCAGGCTGGGTCAGGCACAGGAAGCCCTGAGAAGTATGTTGACACATGCCCCCCCCCACTCCTACCCCCACAGAAACTCCCACTCCACTATGTAAACTCACTTGCTCCATGGACAGCCAGCTGGGCTGCTGGCAGGCCCCTCTGGAGCCTCCAAGAACAGAACCAAGGGACTCAACAAGAAACTCAGGTGGGGGAGGGGGGTGGGAAAGAACTCCAAGGGCCACTTGTCCCAAGCAGCACTGGTGCCTCAATCCTGGGACGTTCTGGATGGGCCAGCCAGCCTGAATCAGGTCTCCTGGGAGGCTCTGAGAATGGAAAAACCCTCAGGTTCATCCCCCCAGAACGCACAGGACGGGTCTTTTTTTTTTTTTTTTTTTTGTATATAAACACAATTGATTTTTTATTGAAGTATAGTCATGGGACGGGTCTTAAACTTGTCCTGATGGTTAAACCCAGAGGACACTGCCATCTGGTGGCCAAGGAAGCCAGATACCATGAAGGTTGGGAGCGTCCCTGTGCTGAGGGCCACAATGGCAGAAATGGTTGAGACTTGTTTAATAATTTCATAAGGGGGCCAAAATTATGCTAGCACACAACTTAGAGTTGAAACAACGTCTTACTTCTGGATACCAAGCTCCCTGAGGTGCAGGCATCATCTGGGTACAGAGGAGGAAACTGCCTCCGGGGAGATTAGGTTGCTTATCCAGGTCACAGCTGCAGAGCTGGGTCACATCCAAGCCCAGCTGCGCTGGTTCTCCCCATCAATACCCAAGAAACAGTTAAAGGGACTCTCAACGTGTGGTACCAAAACCCTTTTAGAAGGCAAAGAGGGAAAAGCTATTTCTGTAAGGAGCCTTTTTCTTTCACTAACAATCATACGGTGAAATTTTCCAGAATCTAAGTGACATGCAATGGCTTCATCTAGACCCAATGGCTAATGGGATGCATACACGTATATTCTTGTTTCAAAAATTTGTTTTAACTTCTAATAAGGCACAACCTACATAACCAAAAGCTCTTTTGAGATACACAGTAAGAATTTTGAAGAGTATAAAAGGGTCCTAAGACAATAAGTTTGAGAATGGCTGGCTTAAAGAAATATATTTCTTTTAATAAAGCTACACACAGTAAAACATTCCCTTTGTTTTGACATATTTGAAAGAACTCTGCAAAACACTAATTTTTAGGCTGACTGGAATTATGTGATTTCTATAGACGGATGGTTAGTGAAATACACACAAATGAGTGAATAAAGAATGGTTTACGGTTGGGATGCCTGGGTGGCTCAGTGGCTGGGCGCCTACCTTTGGCCCAGGGCGTGATCCTGGAGTCCTGGGATAGAGTCCCACATCAGGGTCCCCACAGGGAGCCTGCTTCTCCCTCTGCCTATGTCTCTGCCTCTCTCTCTGTGTCTCTCATGAATCAATCAATAAAATCTTAAAAAAAAAATGTTTACTAACTGGTAGGCATGACTTGAGGTGATTTACACGTGTCACCTCATTTATCCACACACCCCACCATTTGCTGTAGATGCTATTGTTACATTTTATGTCTGTGGACACCAAGAAATTATGTGGCCCAGCTGGGAGATACTGGAGCTTGGACTCTATCCCAAGCAGTCTCCCTTTTACCCACTATTCCAACTGTTATAAGATTTAACATCCCTTAGATGTGATGCACTTGATGACAGACAAGTCTTTCAAGATACTGAAAACAAAGGAGACGGGGGTGTCACCCATGTGGCCCAACATCTTCACTTTGTAGATAGGAAAAGGGAAGCATCGAGAGGGCAAGTGACTTGCTGGAGATCACAGCCCAAAGAATCAGGATCTGTCAGGCCAGTTGCTTCCAGCTGGGAGCCCTTAGAACTCCAACCCGAGTAAGCACTGTAATTACTCTTTTATTGCACGTGAGCAAGTAACATCCAGACATTGCAAGAGACGACACCTCCAGCAAAAGTGGCTCAACTTTATTACAGGGAAGCTAGGGAGGAGCGGGGCAAGTGAGGGTCTCTGTCAGGAACTGCTATCGCTGAGCAGGACTGCCAGGCCCCAGGTCTCTCTGGAAGGCAGGAGAGGATCAGCATCCTGGAAGAGATGAGAAGTTAGGTGGAACAAAAGCACCATCTGCTGTGCACAGGAAGGCATTGCAAAAGCAGCAGGGGTTCACTAAGGGGCAGCTGTGGGAGGCGAAGTGGGAAACCCAGGTGCTAGAGTGGAACTAGCGCCCCGTGTTCAGCCCCACACACTACGCCCACCAAGTCTGTCATAGTGGCTGGCACCCACTAATCTCACGCAAGCCAAACTCTGCCAATGCCTTTTTCTGGGGAACTTCCGGGGCTGCTGGGATGATACTCCTTGTCCTGTTTCAATGCATACAGGGGAGGCAATGAACAAAATCACAAGCAAACAAATCTGCCAATGAACAGACAGTCCAGGTGACTTTATTACCCAGAAATGCTCTATCTCTGATTCCCAAACCTGGCATCACATCGGTCATTGGGGAAGTGTCTTTTTTTTTTTTTAATTTTATTTATTTACTCATGAGAGACACACAGAGAGAATGAGGGGGGGGGGGCAGAGACACAGGCAGAGGGAGAAGCAGGCTCCATGCAGGGAGCCTGACGTGGGACTCGATCCCGGGTCTCCAGGATCACACCCTGAGCTGAGCCACCAGGGCTGCTCCCTGGGGAAGTGTCTTAAAACAGATTGAGATAGATGCAGCAGGGATGGGCAGGGAGCTGTTTGGCAGGTGATTCTCACCCAGTGCTGTGCATCTGAATCTGCAGGAGCCTTTCCATACTACTCATGCTTGCAGACATGTGCCCAGAAAAAATTAGCTGGTATGTAGAAATTGCTTCAAAATAATAGGGGGAGGCGGTGGCATGCATAGATGAAACAGTGATGGCAATGGCTGATCATTGGATCTGGGTGATGGGTACATGGGGATTCATTTTACTACTTGTATGACTAAAATTTCCAAAATAAAAAAGCAAAGGTAAATAAATCAATTAAAAACTCTTGAGAATTATTCAGCCATAGAAAGGAATAAAGTGCTGATCCAGCTACAGCTTGGATGAATCCTGAAGACATTATGCTAAGTGAAATACTACGGTTCCTTTTATTTTATTTTTTTAAACTTATTTATTTATTTATGATAGTCACACAGAGAGAGAGAGAGAGAGGCAGAGACATAGGCAGAGGGAGAAGCAGGCTCCATGCAGGGACCCCGACGTGGGATTCGATCCCGGGTCTCCAGGATCATGCCCTGGGCCAAAGGCAGGCCCCAAGCCGCTGCGCCACCCAGGGATCCCCTACGGTTCCTTTTAAATGAAACAACCAGAAGAGGCAAATCAGAGACAGAATGCAGATTAGTGGCCCCCAGGGGCTGGGAGGGGGGGGCAGTGGAGTGTCCGCTAAACGGGTTTTGGCCGTTTTTTGGGGGGGGGGGGATAAAGCTTTGAAACCAGAGTTGCACAACACCGTGAATGCAGTGAACCCGCTAAATCGTACACTTTAATGGTATGTTATGTGAATTTCACCTCAATAAATTCAAAGACTACTATGAGAAGAAGACACATCCAGTTATACATGGGTTTACAACTGGCAGGCAGTACTCTTTTAGCTGAATAAGATGCACATGCTCAGGCCAGGAGTCTCCAATGCAAGGGGTCTACGTTGGGGCTCCCCCAGGTGTTTTGCCCACTCAGAAAGTTCTGTCTCTTCCCTCCCTCCATCCTTTCTTGTGGAGCGCTTATATCAACCACAATCTCACAATCTTACATGGAGACCCAGTATGAAACAGAGCTACTACCTGGGATGGCTGGAGGGGCCCAGAGGGCCACGCATCAGTCTCCTCCAAAACTCCTCAGGGTGCAGGGACCATATGATGATCACTGATCCTCGCATGGTGGAAACATTATCCTCCCTTTGAGCATAATCCTTCCTATTCAGAGGGATTTCACAGGAATCCCCATAAGGAAGGAAAATAGGATAGAGGTTGTGGCCCCATCTTACAGATGAAAGGCTTGAGTCTCCAGGATGTAAGGAGAAGTATCCAAAGTCATAGCGTGACATGAGGACAGAGCTGGAATCAGAATGCCAGAATTCTCATTATTCATCCCAAGCTCACTCCTGATCATGGGCTGTGTCCATGGACGGACAGGGGATCAGGAAAACAGAGGCCTCTGACCCCTCATGATTTGCATGTGACATCACCACATACACAGGACACCAGCACAGCCCAGCAGTCAGTTGGGAGAGGAGGGTCTCATGGGCCTATTCCCAGGGATGAGGCCACTGGCCACTACAGATTCCAATTTGGGACGCCCTCATCCTGTCTCTGCCACCCTCCTGGGTGGGGCTTCAGTCAAGGCACTTCCCCTTGCCAGGCCTCATGTTTCTCAATGGCATTGAGAGGGCTGATCCACATCAGGGATGTGGCAATCACTGTCATTCAAGCACCAAAGGCACTGCAAGGGCAGTAACAGCTAGGAAAGGCTGTGCCATGAAGGATTCTGAAGCTGGGGTTGTGCAGAGAGGGAAGGAGTGCTGGAGCGATACATAAGGTCTATCCTGGTTCTGCAACCAACTGATTTTGGCCACCTATAAGCCTCTCTGGATTCTGTACAATTAAAGGGGACATCCTGCTTGTATGTGAGGATTTATTCTGCACCAGTCGGGGGCAGAGGGCATGCTCAGGAAGCTGACAGCAGTTCCAAGCAAGGAGAGAGGCCAAGCTGAATTAGCTGAACCTGGTCAGCACACAGGAGCATGAGGCCCAGGAGGACATAGGTGTCCTTGCAGATGGGACAATTTATCAAAGCACTGCTCAGGCTCGTACGCCCTATACTTAAACCCTGTTGGTCATGAGATGCGTTCCCCAAGTCATAAAAGGGACCCTGGGAGACATAACACAGTGCTCCGCATATTCTCAGGGGGCTGTGAGGATTCCCTGAACTCATGATTTGCATTAGCTAATGAAATATTCCATCCAAGGGCTGGGGCCTCACCCACCTGCTCCCTTTGGTCATCATGGGCTCAGGGTCCAGGCCCTCACTACTTGGGGCCGAGGTAGGAAACGGCCTTTCCTGTTTTCTCCAGGGTCTCCAGCAGAATGTCCACGCTGTGCTCAGAGTTGATGCAGACCTTCTTGTTGGGCAGGTCAATGTCAAACTCAACTCCTGCAGGAAAAGGAAGTAGGGTGTGTGGGGAGGAAGCAGAGACCCTCCCAGTTGGGGCAAGAAAGAATGCTGGCTCCAGAATTCTTATTCACAACCACCTTCCCCTTTCCTCCATGCCAGAGATCAGCACATTCTTCCTATAAAGGGCCAAAGTCATGTTTTAGGCATTCTGGGGCCAAATGCACTCAGCTACATATTCTTGTCTCTGTGTGTATTGCTTTTACACCCCTTTAAAAATGTTAAAAACCATTCTCAGCGGTACAAAAAAAGAATGTGGGCTAGATTTGGCCTGTAGACTATAGTTTGCCAACCCCTGCCTGAGACTGGGGCTTCTTTTAAGTTTTCTCTTCTTTTTAACTTCAAAAGTAATAATACACACCATTGGGAAAAAAAAAAAAAAGCAAACATTTCTGAATAAAACTGGAAAGTGGAAGGCCCCCTACTCTCTCCTATCTCCAGAAGTCACTATGAACAGCACAGCATCTACCCAGTCTTTCTCTCAGACAGACAAGTGAAAAGTAATTGTAGTGGGATAATAGTGCAAAATTCGAAGCAGCAACCTCAGTGTCCCTCAGCAGGGGATCGAGTAGATGTATGGGCGTCCACACTGCGGATTATCACACAATGCTACAGTAAACATACTTGAACACATCCTATAAAACTTGTGAAAATATTTCTATACCATGAATTTACAGAATGGAAATTGTGAGCAACCAATGGGCACATTTTAAATGTTGATATTATAAAACCACCCTAAAGTGCTATATGTCAATTTCGAGCTTCTCCCTCCCCACAGACCAGTACATGGGAATAGCTAGAGACGCCATCTTGTGGAGACGATGGGATCCAGAGGGAGAGGCCGCGATAGGTTCTAGGCCTGGCTTCATCACTGACTTGCTGGATGACCACAAACGGGTCCTGCCCAAAATGGGCCTCAGTTTCCCCATCTGTACATGAAGGAATTGGGGGTGGTCAGCACCTGTGATGTTCACACAGGCCATTAGCTGTGATTCCTCAGGCTCAGCACTGCTCATCTAAGGCCCCAACTCAGAAAGCCCTTCTGACCCACCTCAAAAGGCTACCCAAGTAGGGACAGTGGTAAAAGATGGGGCCATCTATCCAAGGTCAAAGGGAGATTCCCCAAACATCAAAGAGCTTTAAAAAGCCCACAGTACAGAATGTCTGAATTTGTACCTAACAGACACTTAGGGAGAAAAAAAAAACATAACGTGTCCTTACACACTAGATTTTTGTCTTTTGATTCAGAAGTTTCTCCCTCCTTGGCACTTGACGGGATGAGCACCGGGTGTTATACTATATGTTGGCAAATTAAACTCCAATAAAAAAAATACAAAAAAAAAAAAAAAAGGAAAAGAAAAAGAAGTGTCTCCCTCCTCTTTGGAATAAATATTTTGGCGGCATCATAAACCTGGAAGAAACTCTAGGATCATCTAACCCAGTGGGTTTTAAACTGTGTTGCTTACAGCCCAGACTCCTGGTCGGGAGTTCTCAAGTCATCAAGAGTGAAAGCAGGCCCACCTGCACTCCTCACTTCATCCAGAATGTGACACTTCATATTGGAGGGGCCCCTGAGCAGTTTTCCTCTTACGGTATCCACGGCAGAAGCTAACATAGGCTGACACGCCCATACCACAGCTGGGGAAATAGGCCCCAGGGAGAAGAGGCTGCAGTCACATGGCAAGTCAGCAGCCAGGTTTTCCCCGCTGCTTCAGACTTTCAAATTAAGATTATGGTTTCCATGACTAGAAACCAGCCATTGACTCACTTTGGGCAAGTCACTTCCCCTCCTGGGCTCTGGTGTCAACACTCCCATTCCACAGATGGAAAGGCCAGCTCAGAGATTGAAGTGCTAATGAGATCAAGTCCATGTGGAAGGCCTTTGAAATCTGGGTATTATCTAGGGTTGTTTTTCTTCTTTAAAGATTTTATTTTGGGGGCAGCCCCGGTGGCGCAGTGGTTTAGCGCCACCTGCAGCCCAGGGTGTGATCCTGGGGACCAGGATCGAGTTCCGCATTGGGCTTCCGGCGGCGTGGAGCCTGCTTCTCCCTCTGCCTGTGTCTCTGCCTCTCTCTTCGCTCTCTCTGAATGAATAAATAAATAAATCTTAAAAAAAATAAGGATTTTATTTCTTTAAAAAAAAAAAGAAAGAAAGAAAAAAAAGGGGGGTAGGCCGGGTGGCTCAGCGGTTTAATGCCGCTTTCAGCCCAGGGCCTGATCCTGAAGGCCTGGAATCGAGTCCCACGTCAGGCTCCCTGCATGGAGCCTGCTTCTCCCTCTGCCTGTGTCTCTGCCTCTCTCTCTCTGTGTCTCTCATGAATAAGTAAATAAAATCTTTTAAAAAATAACTAGAATTATGTTTAATGAAACATTCTGTGACTCTCATGAATAAATAAATCTTTATTTTATTTATTTTTTTAAGGTTTTATTTATTCATCAGAGAGAGAGAGGCAGAGACACAGGCAGAGGAAGAAGCAGGCTCCCTGTGGGGAACCCGATGTGGGACTTGATCCCAGCACCCTGGGATCATAACCTGAGCCAAAGGCAAACACTCAACCACTGAGCCACCCAGGTGCCCCCTATCTAGGTTTTTTTTTTTTTTTTAAGATTTTATTTATTTATTCATGAGAGACACATAGAAAGAGAGAGGGAGAGACACAGGGAGAGGGAAAAGCAAGCTCCACACTGGGAGCCCGATGTGGGACTCAATCCTGGGATTCCAGGATCACGCCCTGGGCCAAAGGCAGGCGCTAAACTGCTGAGCCACCCAGGGATCCCCGCTATCTAGGGTTTTAAAAGTGAAAATCTTAGCACTATCAGAACACTGGTCATATCTCAGTCATTACCTCTCGGAAACCCAGGGCCAGACCTCAGTCTCCCCAGTTGAGAACCAAGGGGGCTGGATGAGAATAATGATTTTCTAAATATGTCCAGAAGAGGTGCTTTAAGAGTTTTGCACATGACTCGAGTCAAACTTCATTTTTTTAAATATTACAATTTTCTAAATGTTAATAGAAAATGACACTCAAATGTAGCATATGCAAAATTATCACACTGAAGACCACCAACACATTAACTAGTGCTGCCAGGACTCTGAGCTAGACTGTGTGGCAAATCCCAGCTCTGCCACTTACTGTGTGATCTCAGCTAAGTTGCTTAACCTCTCTGAACTTCAGTTCCTCTTGCTGAGGATGGAGATAGTCCAAGAAGCAACCTAAATGGCTGTGGTGAGGAACAGATGATGTGGTTCACAGAAACCACACCAGGCAGAGTAAAGGGCACATGCTAAGTACTCAATACATTTTTTTTTTAAGATTTTATTTATTTATTCATAAGAGACACAGAGAAGAGAGGCAGAGACACAGAGAGAGAAGCAGGCTCCTCATAGGGAGCCTGATGTGGGACTTGATCCCGGACGCTGGGATCACACCCTGAGCAGAAGGCAGACACTCAACCACCAAGCCACCCAGGAATCCCCTACTCAATACATTTTAGTTTTACTGTTATTAGCAGCTTTAACTCAAGCTTCTCCTGATCCATGTCTGCAAGCATTTGAACATGATTTAAGTGCGTCAGCCTCCCCAACCTCACCCCTAGCCGAGGGCCACTCACTCACCTCCCAGCTTGTTGAGCACCCGACTGACCGCGTTAGAGCATCCTTCACAGGTCATGTCCACAGAGAACTCGTGCTTCTAAAATAAACAAAGGGGACCATAAGCAAGTCCTTCAGCATGACACACACACTCCACCAGCATGCAGGCCCACCTAGAGGCCAAGACAGAAAGCAGAGACAGGCCAAGATCTGGCTGTCATCAGACTCACCAGTAGCTTGTTTCTGAGCCCCACTCTCTTAAACTGGAAAGTGGAGTTAAGTAAGGGTTTCTCCATCTCACAGGTTGTTTTGAATGAGATAATCCCAGGACACCTGGGTGGCTCAGTAGTTGAGCATCTGTCTTCAGCTCAGGGCATGATCCTGGAGTCCCAGGATCAAGCCCCATAATGGGCTCCCCGTGGGGAGCCTGCTTTTTTCTCCCGTTGCCTGTGTCTTTGCCTCTCTGTCTTTCATGAATAAATAAAATATTTAAAAATAAATAAATAAATAATAAAAATAAAATGTTGGTGTCTAGTCTGACCTTCAAAATCTTGATTCTTGAGCTACAGGGTTTGTCTCAAGACCACTGATAACTGTGATTTGAGTAGGCCCATGGACTCTGAGCAATGCTGATCTGGTGGTCTTATTTATGCATCAGAAGATCATCTTATGCATTAGAATCATCCAGGAACTTGCAAAAACTACAAGTTCTGATCCACAAGTCTGGGCTGGAGTGTCTATTATGGCTAATAAGCTTCTCTGGCATTCTGATACACAGAGATCACTGTTCTCATCCACGTGCTGTCAGAGGCAGCACCCGAGTCCTGGGACGAGAAGGGATGTGCCAGGTCTCCCAGCGGGGTGGAGGCTGGGCCAGTAAGGGAACCCAGACTCCTGGACTCCTCGTACAGGCTCAACATCCTATAGTGTATAAGGGCCTTAAGGCAAGCTTTGTTGAATTCACTGCTGCGACCCGATACTTGAACAGCGCCTGGCACAGAGTGGGTGCTTACTACATTTTGTTGAGTGAACAGATGATTGACACAACTGGTTGAGGAACTCTTTGCTTTCAGACAAAGATTTCTATACCAATACATCTTCTATTTTAAAATCTCTGGAAATAAGGCCGGCCTCAGTTCCCAACTCTGGCAAGCTGTATGACTATGAGTAAGTTATTCAGCTCCTCTTTGCCTTGGTTTCTACATCTGCAAAACGGGGACGAGAGTCCTTTCTCTAGGTTAGTGAGTGGGATGAACATTGTAAGTATGGGAGCCAGCATGCAAGATGGCCCCAGTGACCTCTACCTCCTGATTTATGCCCTGAGGAAATCCCATTCCACAATGTCTCAGGGTTGCTCTGTGTGTCCAGTAGAATATGGCTTCAATTACATCATGTGACTTCTAAGGCCAGGTCATGAAAGACACTGTGGATTTTTCCTGGAATGGCAGAGTTGAGTAGTTGTAAGGGACCACATGGTTCATGAAGCCTCAAGCACTTAAAGTATTTACCTGACCCTTTAAGAAAAAGTGTGGTGACTCCTGCTCTAGAATAACCAGCAGACAATGCAGATTTGTCAACAGTTTGCACCTGCATATACCCATCCAAAGCTTTTTTTTTTTTTAAGATTTTATTTATTTATTCATGAGACACAGAGAGAGAGAGGCAGGGACATAGCAGAGAAAGAAGCAGGCTCCTTGCAGGGAGCCTGATGTGGGACTCAATCCCAGGGCCCTGGGATCATGTGCCCTGAGCCCGCCCAAGGCAGACACTCAACTGCTGAGCCACCCAGGCGTCCCAACCCACCCAAAGCTTTAAAGGGTTTGTAAGACCAATATAAGGCCTAAATCTATTGTGCCTGAGTGCACCTCTGTGCCAAATGCTCTGTATATGGTATTTTAAATTAGTTCTCACTTGGCTTGGAAAGGGAGCTCGAGACCCTATTTTACTCCAAAGGAAATTGAAGTTCCCAGGGGTTCACTGAGCTGCTCACAGTCATGTAGCGAGTCTGTGCTGAGGATATGAACCCAGGCCTTCCTGGCTCCAGGGACATTTTGCTAGTTGTGGAGCAGCCAACTGCACTGCCAGCTGCCACCCTGCGACCCTGACTCTCAGCAGGAGCTCTGGGAGTGGGACAGCTTGTGAAGAAATGCAAGTTTATGCTGCCCAAGAACCTAAGTCAACAGAATATGTGAAGCTTTCTGCCGCTGCCTACAGAGAGCGGGTCTCCTTTCATCCTCCATAGTACAGAGGTCAGAAACCAGGAGGCGGCGTCTGGGTGGCAAAAGTTACAATTCAGTGCTCTTCCCCTCAGACTTGCACAAGTCAATTTGAGGGTGGTAGAAAATCTACTTTGTGGATAGAGTAACCCATTCTTAACAGAGAATCCCAATCCCCTGTTGCCTCAGCCCCTCAGAGCCTCAGACTGGTCTGTCACCTCTAAGACATGTCCTTTAAAGCCATGAAAAAGTCCAGTAAATGTGCAATTCTTTAATAGAATCTCAGAACTGGAAGGGCAGAAATGCAGTGGGGTGGCTGTCCAGCCCCCTACCAGAGAAGGAATTCTCAAAATATCCCGGATATTTAATCTTTGAACACAATGTCAGTCAAGGGTTTACTAATACTAATATTTGAATGTGGACTACATGCCAGATATTGTTCTAAACACTTTGTGTGCATTACCTTGTTTAATCACCACAAGGTTCCCATGAGATGGGTGTTATTATCCCTTGATACACAAGGGTTTGAGATTCAGAGGTTAGGGCACTCACTCAGGGTGACACAGCTAGCGAGGAGCCAGGCCCTATACTGAAAATGTCTCCAAAGCCTAAACTTTTAACCACTGTGGTCCTTGTTAAAATGGGATTAACACCTGCCTGCCTGTAGTTCTACCCACTTGTCCTTGGTCTACACGAGAGCTAACATTTCTTGGGAACTAGCAACATCAGTGACTATATGCTACATATTTTACTGGCATTCTTCCAGATAATACTAACAATAGTCCTTTGAGATCACAGCTTTTTATCCCCATTTTACAGATGATGAAATCAAGGCACAGAGAGATAAAGCAGCTTGCCCAAGGTCACCCAGCTGGCAAGCAAGGGCACATATTTTTCAAAGAGGCCTCTGAGATTCCAAGTTTTTGTCTGAGAAACCTCTCGGGTGACACACTGACCAGTTTTGACCACAGCCCTTGACTAATACCCTCCTTTCTTCAGTTGCTCATCTTGTGAAAGGTTGCCAAGTACCCTCTTCATTCTGACCATCTGCTCTGGAGGGTCTCTAGCTTGTCAACAGAGTGATCCTCAAGCTGGCCTTTGCTTCACTGCCACCCTCTACAAACACCTGGTGACTATCTCAGTCCCAGGGTGATTAATGTTGTCCTCTTAACATTGCCACAGGCAGATTTGCTCAAGGAGGAGGGCCGATTCTGTTAGGTTCTTTGTCCATACTTGTGTTGTCTGAGGATTTGTCTCAAGGCACCTGGCAAGCCCCAAGGGAAAGGACACCTGAGATGGTTGTGGCTTGGCCCAGGGGGCCACTGGCTTACGTGTCAGCTCCCCAGAGCTAGGCTGCTAAGACACAGGGCATCTGTGGAACACCTCTGGGTATCCCCTTGAATCAGAGCCATAAACTAGGCACTCTGGGGGAAATCGCTCAACACCACATGACCCCAAACCAGGATCTACAGGATATACCTGGCATCACAGCTTACTTTCAATCCGGTATAACTACTTTTGTCTGGCATTTATTTCCCAAGTGGTCAGGCCAGAAGAGACTGGGAGCCTGAAGATAAGGGGCTTAATCCTAGCCCTACTCACTGACTGCCTCAAGGAGACCATGAGTAAGTTACTGGGCATTTTCTTTTCTTATCTGCAAAAGTCCTGAATTTCTTATCTACAAAATGAGGTCCTGAGCAACCATGTATGTGCATTAAGCCTGAGTGAGCGGCAAAGGCGCCTAAGACCTACTCATTCCTCCCCAAACTCTGCCTTTGAGCAACTGGCAACTGTGAGCAGGTCCCTTAACCTCCCATGGGCTCATAGGTTCGGGGTCGGAAAGTGATCGGTAGGAAAGGTTACAAGCACTGTCTCCATTCAGTGTCGCCCAGGGCTGAAGTGAAAATGGGCCACAGTAGGCAAGAGGAAGGAAAGGAAACCACGGATCTCTGAAAATGTGCCCCATCCAGGAGGCAACAGCCACCCCACCCCCTCCCCCACTCCCCCCTTCTGGCCAGCTCGGCAGACAGGGGCAAACAGGGGCAAGCGGGGGGAGGCGCAGGGACTAGCCGTCCCGGTTCCAGTTCGCCACAGGCTCGCTCCCCGGATGAGCTCAGCGACTCGGCCCTTCGCTGGGCCTCAGTTTCCCTCGTCTGTGCTGGGAAGGGCTGGGCTTGCAACCACTGGAGGCCCTGCCGCTCCGATGTCCGGAGGCCTGACTCCTACATCAAACCCCTTTCGGATCTGGGGGGATTTTCTGGAGGGTCGCGGAAGCTGGGAGCAGATGGGGAGGGAGGCGGCGAGAAGAGAGGCAAGAGCTCCGGCTGCGGCCTGGGCCCTTGAAGAGCGACGTGTGGCCGATGCGCGGTGCAGCCGGGGCGCAAGCCGGGGCCGGGTGGGCGCGGGTCGGGAGCGGGCACTCACCGGCATGACTGCGGATGGCGGATGGCGGGTGGCGGGTGGCGGCGGCGGCGGCGGCGGCGGCAGCGACGCTTCGGCCGGCTCGGAGCGCTGGCGCGGCTGTATTTCCGGGGCTGGGCGCGGGGGAGGGCCGACCCTCCCGCCAGGCCCCGCCCCACTCGGCCCGCCGCCGGCTAGGCCCCGCCCCCGTGTGCGGCCAGGCCCCGCCCCCGCCCGCCCGCGGCTAGGCCCCGCCCCCCCGCCCGCGGCTAGGCCCCGCCCCCACGTGCGGCTAGGCCCCGCCCCCTGCCCCCCACCCCCACCCCGGCGGAGAGCCACCTGACTGCCGCTGGCCGCCGCGCCTCCTTTCCCGCGGTAGGGGCCGGGGACTCCCCGCTCGTCCGCCGCGCGCTGGGCCGGCCTCCAAGGCCTACTGGCCATTTTTAGACCACCTGCATCGTGTCAGGCGCGTATTCGAGGCTGGGAATGCCAGCCCCACCCCCACCCCCACCCCCCGCAGTGAAGACGACAGACTCCGCCCCTCCCTAAAGGGACAATCCCATTTATTGATGTAAATGAGTCCCAGCCTTGAGCCAGCGCGGTGCTAGGTAGCCAAGATGCACTAGTGAAAAAGACCTCGCCTCTTAGGGAGCCAAGGAAGCAGGCGGTGAAAACGCTGTGTTAGAGGGGCTGTATCGTGGGAGCAGAGGAAGGGTCTCTAACTCAGACTGGAGTGTGTTGGGGGCAGGAGAGGCGTTCCGGCTGAGGAGGCTTCGGGAAGAAGTACTCGAGTCAAGGGTGGAGAGCACACGTTCATCTGGTGAAGATGAGCTACTGGGGAAGGAGGGAGGCAGAGGGAACAGCAAGACGGAAGATGAGGGTGGGCTTGAGAGGCAGGCACAGAGAGAGGTGGAGAAGGATATGAGATCCACAGCCTTGGGTGAAGACAGATGAAGGACACTAACAGAGACAGGCATGCGGAGACTCGGAACTTCAGACACACACACACACACACACAGAGACGAGCTTGGGGTGAGGGGGCTCTCCCCTTGGAACATCCAAGGAACCTGCCGGAGGGGTCCGGTCTGAGTAGTTTCAAAGATGTCCCTCATCAACAGAACTGCTTGGACATCTTATTAACCCAGACTTCTAGGCTTCACCCTAGATTCACTGCCCCTTATTCTCCAGGTATACTTTTAGTCCCCCTCCTCTGCTTGGTTTGGGGAACCACTGGTCGAGGAAAACTATAGTCTTATTACATGAAACTTCTTTAAGAAAGTGTGCTCATGATTGATTTATTGTCTCACCTCCAATTCACCCTTTTTGTTTGCTCTATGAAGATGAATCTGGACTCTTTAAATATTTTTTTTTCCTTTGCCTTCTGGCAGGATTTTTTTTTAACTTTTTTTTAAGATTTTATTTATTCATTCATGATAGACATAGAGAGAGAGAGAGAGAGAGAGAGGCAGAGACACTGGCTGAGGGAGAAGCAGGCTCCATGCCGGGAGCCCGATGTGGGACTCGATCCCGGGACTCCAGGATCGCGCCCTGGGCCAAAGGCAGGCGCTAAACCGCTGAGCCACCCAGGGATCCCTGGCAGGATGTTAAAATTTCTCAGTAAAAGTTCTGGGAAGACCCTGGAAGGGGAACGGTTTTCCTTTCTGGTTCCAGTATGCTCACTTGCCAAACCCTTGCAATGTGAGTGGTTGCCCCATGCCCATCTTCTGAGAACGGCTTCCTCAGCACCAGGCTCCTGCTGTGTTCAGGGACCAGCAGCACCTAGCAGCCTAGCACCTTCCTTGTGTCTATCCTTCCTTGTGTACTTTCAATAGCAGAGTGCCTTCGGTGAAGTGCCTCTCTGTAAATAGCTTTCTCCAGCACCCCAGAGGGAAATTTTCCAGCTGGAGGATGGATGTCTAGCAAGTTCCACCAGCCTGGCATCATAGCCATTTCTCTGCCATTCTGTGGGCCACACGGCCTGGATCTCAGGCTAGGATGAGGCTTGGGAGATTCTTCTCTGTGTAATACTCTATGTTACTATCTTGGCCTTACCAGCAATGGCTGCTCCTTGTATCTGCTGTTTCTATATTCTTTAAAATTCTCTTTACTTCTTACTAGCCAATGCTTCATCACAGACTCATGATTTTTAAACTTTCCTTGTTCCAATTATGGTGTGGTTTCTTTCTCCTGATTAGAACACACTGATACAGGGAGTGACCACAGCTGCCTGCTTCAGTTTAGGGAAGAGGGTAATGGATCCACCCTTGGCCTAGGTTCAAGGAACACAAAATGGAAGGGATAAATCTAGGCCAGAACCTGTCACTGACTCACACTGGCCCTGAGTGAAGAGGCCCACCTCCAGCATGGTGAGTGGAAGGAGCATGGAAATGAGAGCCTTTCTTAGTCTGCTCAGGCTGCTATAACAAAATATCACAGACTGGAAGGCTTAAAAAATATTTATTTCTCCCAGTTCTCATAGTTCTGGAGGCTGGAAAGTCCAAGGCCATAGTGCTGGCTGATTCAGTTCTTGGTAAGATTGCTCTTCCTGGCTTGCAGAGAGCTGCATTCTCGCCATGTCCTCACATGGCAGGGAGAGCTAGCTCTGGTATCTCCTCCTCCTCTTCTAAGGCCACCAGCCCTATGGAATTAGACCCCAGTCTTATGACCCCATTTAACCTTTATGAACTCTTCAAGGCCCATCTCCAAACACTGTCACCTTGGGGATTAAGGCCTCAATGTGTGGATTTGGAGGGAACACATTTCAGTCCATATAAACCATATAGAGGGCAGCCTGGGTGGCTCAGCGGTTTAGCACCTGCCTCCAGGCCAGGGCCTGATCCTGGAGTCCCAGGATCGAGTCCCACATCGAGCTCTGCCCGTGTCTCTGCCTCTTTCTCTCTCTCTCCTTGTGTCTCTCATGAAAAAGTAAATAAAATCTTTAAAAAATAAATAAATAAACCATATAGAGCCATAGACACCAGAGTTTGAATTTTAGCCCTATCATTTGCCAGCTGTATAATCTTTGGCAGATTACTTTACCTCTCTAAACCTTAATATCCTCACTTTTAAAACCAGGAAGTTAAGGTGACTATACAATTTTTTATCCAAACCTTCTGAGAGTAAAAGGGGTTGCCAGGACAATAGGCATACACCATGACTGTTCCAGGTAAACCAGGACGTATGGGTTTCTCAAAGAAAACTATTTTGTGGTATTATTGGGAAGAACATAAATGATACTGTCTACAAACCCCTAGCGCATTACTTGGCACATGATAGGCATCAAAAAATACTAGAATTCTAATTGCTGGAATTGGTCCTGGCCTCCCTGACATGGCTCTTCCCCTACTGGCAAAATGCTCACCCCTTAACCCTTCATACCTCTTTGTGACCTGCCAAGCATTTCCTTAGGTCCAGTGAAGGCAAGGCTCAACATTTTAGTAGCACTGGGCACAACTGTGTACTGGGGCACAACTGTGAAAGGGACGGGGGCACTAAAGGAAAGGCAGAGGAAGAGTGAATAGGTCAAAGAATTAGGGAAGAGGGGAGGTGAAGCAGAGAGAGCACAACTTAATGAGAGGCAGCGTCACGGAAACGGAAACTCAGTGCACTTGACAAATGAGGAGAGGAAAATGTGCGTGATAGTTCCTATAATCTGCATACGTTCCAGTTATTTACATAACAACTAAGCCTGAAATGAACTACAGCAAATGTTATAGAAGTTATCTGGAATGGATGCAGGATTATAGGCTCTTGATGCACATACTATTTAAGAAATTCCAAATAGCACAGAAGGGTATATGGGGAAAATAAGTCTCCCTCCTGACTACCCCTTCTTAAACAAAAAGCAGGGCAGCCCGGGTGGCTCAGCGGTTTAGTGTTGCCTTCAGCCCAGGGCCTGATCCTAGAGACCTGGGATCGAGTCCCTTGTCGGGCTCCCTGCATGGAGCCTGCTTCTCCCTCTGCCTGTGTCTCTGCCTCTCTCTCTCTCTCTCTCTCTGTGTGTGTGTGTCTCTCATGAATAAATAAATAAAAATCTTAAAAAAAAAGTTAAAAAAATAAAAAGTAAAAAAATAAACGGCATCTATATACAATTTTGCAGCTTGCTTTTGTCACTTTACAAAATATTATAGAGTTTATTCTTTACTTGTGGATATCCCCTTCATTCTTTTTAGTGATACATAATGCTATAGTATTCAGTTGTACCATAATTTAACTAGTCCTGGGCAGCCCTGGTGGCTCAGTGGTTTAGTGCCGCCTGCAGCCCAGGGTGTGATCCTGGAGACCCAGGATCGAGTCCCACGTCAGGCTTTCTGAATGGAGCCTGCTTCTCCCTCTGCCTGTGTCTCTGCCTCTCTCTCCTCTCTGTGTATTCTCATGAATAAATAAATAAAATCTTAAAAAAAGTTTAACTAGTCCTTATGGCAGAAACCATTGGTTGGCTAATCCAACCCTCACTACCAGTCTTTTTATCTTGCTACTGTAGAGACCAGATCCCTAAATACCCTAAATGTTTCCTTTCCCATCCTCCCTTGCAGCCAAGTGTGCCCATATGACATGACTATGGCCAGTGAGTCAGAAGCAGAATGTTTCTGGAAAGCTCTTGCTTTTTTCACAAGGAGAACAGATACTACTCCTTTCCCCTTCCTGCTGAGAATACTGGCGTGATACCTTGAGTACAACCATGAGGGAAATGCCAAGAGAATTACAGAGATGCTGGTTCTGTGTGCTCGCTGAACTGATGCCAGCTGCAGCTTGACTGCAGACTTGTTACATGACAAATATAAGCCCCTCTTATTTCGACTGCTACATAGACTACCTGTTACTTGCCCCTGACATATTCTTGATATAGTCTCTCACTGATATACAGGCTGCTTCCAATCTCTTAATGCTAATAAGGATGATGTAATGACAGTCCATATACATAGATCTTTGCTTAAACGTTTATGTAGAATAAATTCCTAAGGTGGAATTGCTGTTTGTTTTCAATTTTGATAGTGAGATTGCCTCTCAAAGAAGTTTTATGAACTATGCTTTCATATCTTCAGATCTATGTGTGCTACTCTCACCCATTTCCAATATTATTGATTTTTCTTTCCTTTCTTTCTATTTTTCTTTGCCATGTGTTCTATAATATGTATTAAGAATCTCAGGAGGGACGCCT